CCCTAGTGCCTTAGTTGTTACGCGACGCATTTAAAGTGTCCGATTTAAGAAGTTACAGCCAGTTACACAATTAGCAGGTATACCGTATAATTCGCTGTTCTAATTCATAGGTATAGACTTAATCGACAGTAGTTAGTAACGCTTTGGACATGCAAACAAACGAGCGCAAGAACAATCACGAATTATACTATTCTAATCTAACGATTATTTTCGATTTGTGATAGTGGCATTTCACTGTCCATGTTAGTGGATGTACGAATTGATTCCGTGAAATTACACATTTACTAATTTATAATTGAAATATAATTCTGTGAAATAACATTGAGTGCGTGTTATTTATCATGTGGCTACTTCGTGTTAAACCTTACGCGAGCCAAGGGGAACATATTTTTTAACGATACTCGTAGTCTGTAACTAGTGCGATACACGTCGCTTTGGTGAACAATTAAATATAGGTGATAGAATTTGCAGCGGTCAGAGTAATCGTACATTTGGAGATTTTCATTTTGTTCGATGAACGTTAGCGTCTGAATTTGTACTTACTTTATCCCTTAATCTATTCAATAACAATGTATGTATAACCAGAACTGTACGAATCGACCGCGATTGCTTTTACAGAATATTCGATCATTGTTCGCGTGGCCCTGGCCTTTTGTAAGCAAATTCAGAGAAATAAACAACACAGATCATTCGGATTCGCGTAAAATATTCTTCAGTATTCTGCACCGATCGATATCATTTAAGCTCGAGACGATCAGTTTCTCTTCGTTACATACTAATTTCAAAAGGAATTAAGAAATTACTTTGAAAATGATACGACTGTGTAAACATTGCATACAAACAGTATAATTACAGACCATTCATTGTGCTGTATTCATAAAATCCTTTTTTACATCATTCGCGTGATTCCTCGAGAGACTTCAACAGAATACACACGGAATCATTGCTCGCGGTAAGGTAGCTTCGCCCTTATCAGCGTCTCCGAACTGCACATCAAATATAGAATCAAACCAGAGACCATCCCCATTCGTCCAACGCGAAGGATAGAGTCGCAGAGTTCGATGCAACTCGAAAATCGAAACTACGTATCGTCGTCATTGCTGACCTAATCCGAGACGCGTTTCAAGCAACATTAACTCCTTAGTGTCTTCGTTCTGTGCGGTGCGAGCGCAGGTGTGCGATTCGAAGCCGGCTCATGCTCTGTTATCTTTTTGCAGACTGAAAAGTGCGAAGGCGATACCAGCCAGGCCTAATCGATCGCGTACCGTTAACGCAAACGAAGAAGATCGGTCCTCGGTTCTCGAGGATGTACCCAGCAAATCCTGCGTCGTTCAGGAGATGCTGTCGTACCGATGCGAGTCTTGCGACGACGAGTTCGATACCGAGTCCACGTTGTTGGTCCACAGAACCGAGCAGTCGATTATTCGGACGCGAGAAGCGTTGCGCAAAGCCGATAAGAAGTACACCTGCGACGTTTGTCACGAGTCGTTCGCTAAGAAATTACAACTGTTCAAGCATCGACGCACGCGATGCAAGGACCACGCGACGGTCGAGCGGAGACAGAACAAGCCTAAGGATAAGGTGACGAGAATGAGAAGAAGGCAAGAGCAAACGGGCCCCATCGAGTGCAACGTGTGCCACAAGGTTTTCAAGAAGAAGAAATACCTAAACGTGCACAAAACGTTGCACGGAGTGCCCCACATTTGCCACCTGTGCGGCGCCAAATTGACTTCGGAGTATTACTTAAAGATTCACATTAGAAGGCATAACAAAGAGTTCACGGAGTTCTGCGAGATCTGTAACAAGGGTTTCTACCTGAAGGCGACCCTGAAGACGCACATGAGCGTCCACAGCGATGATAAGCCGTGCACCTGCGAGATCTGCCACAAGTCGTTCGGTAACCGAGTTTACCTGAGAAGTCACATGAAAATTCACAGCGAACCGGAGACCAGGAAGAAGTATAAATGCGAGATATGCGGATTCGAGACGTTTTATAGTTACTGCTATAAGGAACACATGTGGACGCACACTGGGGAAAGTCAGGTGGCTTGCGAGGTCTGCGGCAAGTTGATCAGGCGGCAGTACATGAAGATTCATATTAGGATACACACTGGCGAGAAGCCTGAGATTTGCGAATTTTGCGGAAAGGCGTTCAGTTCTAGGAAGTATTTGATCAAACATCGAAGAACCCACACTGGCGAGAGACCCTACAAATGTAAAATCTGTGAAAAACGTTTCACTCAACGCGGCACTCTTAGCGCCCATTTGCGTCGCCACGAGGGTACTAAATGAAATGGAGTTTATCGTTGTGCCTTGGACGAACGATTTTTGTTAAACGCGGCTACAGTTGTTCTTTGTTACTTGGCACTATTTTTTCGTGTATATAAACACGGTAGTCGTGAACCTTTAAAACAGAGGCGAGGAAATTATGATTATTTTGTTTATATTAATTGAAAGTCCTACGAGTACTAACAAAGATCTGGTTCGTATTAATTTGTAATTGATTGGGAATAGTGCAGAATCTCGAAAGCGAAATCTCTTGTGAAACATTAGTTTTCCTTAAAATTAAATATATCGTTGTAGAGGTATCATCATTTTATAAATACTTTAATTGTAGATGATTATAATTTCTGTTATGGGACGATGCGTTTAATTAATTTATAATATATCATTGGAGTGCACTGTACAAAATGTAATAAAGTTCGTATTACGTAGATATTAATTACAACTTGGCAATACTGGTATTAAAAATATAAATTAAATTTTATACAAATTGAAGAGCTAATATTCTAATAAAATAATGAACCATCGTATTAATAATGATAGAGTTGTGTGCAAGACAAACAACTACTGGTAAGTAAACCGTTACATTTCGAAATACGAATAAAAAGTATAGTTCATGGCGTTCCTTTATTGTAACTGTAGTGGTAACTGTAACATGGAATTTCTTTCAATCTCTGACTTAAATAACATACCATATAGAAAGCAAACTTTAAACTAATCATTTATTGTTTGTTAGCAATAAATCTAAATATGAAATTAAATATAAAAGGAATACAGTTAAACCGTTCGCATTGCGTATTTTAAAACAGAAGATTTAATAATAACCACATTTTGGAACTACACCCAACAATTTCAATTAAAAGAAGATACACTTAATCAATATACAATTTCAAAAACTGACATACAGACACTGATCTAACGAGCCTACGATAAAATGAATACCAGGGAGCATCTATATCAGAATCAAGCACTATGTCAAATTTCATCGAGAACGATCGATATTAAAATGGAGAAGACATATACGGATATAAAATCGCATACGTTCGCAAATAACGACAACGTAACCGTAAAACCTACGCCAGCAAATCCCCCAACGAACATCGTCTATCGAACGACAAACGCAAGAAATTTTACAAATGAAGATTTCTTCAGTACAGAATTAGCATGCAGTAAGAAATCGTAGCTGCTATCATCTACAGTTTGCCTCGTTGCTTGAAAAGATCCTTTGTTTTCCCCCCTTGTTTTTCAACCGTTCTGTAACAAAGTAGCTCGCAAGCTAGTTTATCCATACCGATTTGCATTTCATTAAAGAAAGCTCTTCCCACACATTCCTCGTATACAATCTTTCGAAAGTGTCGAATGGTTGCCTCTAGATTTCGAATTATCCTTGCAATGCGTGCTGTATTTTAACGTTAGATCACCAGAACGGACGGGGAACTCGGAAAACTTTGTTTCCTAACGGAAGAAAATCCACCTTGATTAAGAAACACGTACTATTTATTACCCTTTTAAGCATTCATTCCGTTATTTCTTATACGTTGACGAGTGTTGTCCGTTTCAGGTACCAGGAGATCAAGATCGAGTATCCAAAAGTAGAACCGCTAGAGGATGTGGTCGTGGTGAAGTACCACGGCGACGTTTGCGTTGTCGACGAGTTCGAACCGATCAGCCATCACGAGGTAGTCGACGATTCGTTAGACTTCGCCGATCAGTCGATCAAAGTCGACCTGAAGCTGAACACGATCGAAATCGATCCTCTGCCGGACGCGGTCGAAGTCGACCTGAAGACGGACACGATCGAAGTGAAAGAATTTCACAGAACGCGAAAGAACGAGATCGAGACGAGCAAAAAGTGTTCGATGGTCTACGAATGCGACATTTGTCAAAAAAGGATGCGCAAGAAATTGGAGTTCCTGAAGCACCGTCAGAACCACGAGAGGGAGTTGGAGGAGGTGGGCCGATGCGAGGAGTGCGACAAATCCTTCGTCGACGAGGATAAGATGAAGAAACACATGATCAAGGTGCACCAGAAGGAGAAACCGTTCCATTGCGTGTTCTGCGCGAAAACCTTCAAGACCAAAGAGTTCTTGAAGACCCATCTGAAGCAACACAACAAACGCTTCACGTGCGATATCTGCGGCGTGTCGAAGGTATCAGGGTACGATTTGCGTTTGCACAAGATGAAGCACAACGAGGAGTACGTGGCCCATTGCGACGTCTGCGGGAAAGGTTTCTACACGAAGCAGACCCTGGAGAGACACATGCTCACCCACACGGGCGAGAAACCGTTCATTTGCAGGATCTGCAAGACTCCTTACGCGAGTGCTGCTTACCTTAATACACATATGAAGTCGCACGGCGAGAGGGAGAAGTACAAATGCAACTCGTGCGACTTCGAGAGCCACTGGAAAGGCGCGCTGAAGGTGCACTCCAAGATACACACGGGCGAGAACCTGATCGCTTGCGAGGTCTGCGGTAAAACTGTGTCCAGTAAAGCGTACATGCAGGTCCACATGAGAATACACACTGGCGAAAAGCCACACATTTGCGAGAAATGCGGGAAAGCGTTCAGTGTTCGCAAGTACTTGACCGTGCATCTCAGAACCCACACTGGGGAAAGACCGTACGAGTGCAAGATTTGCCAGAAAAGGTTCACTCAGCACGGAACGCTGAATTCGCACATGAAGTCGCATAACGAACAAAAGTGAAGTGAAAGACGAACAACGACGTCGCTACGGACAGGTGGTGTTTACGATAGAAGTATCTAGTATGTCTCCTTCTTTTGAGACGAGTAGTAAGTAGCTTTTGTATCAGGATATTTTACTCGAGAAAAACCATTCAGATGATGTATTTTAATTATTAAGCGCTCTTAACAAGTTGACTGCCACGACTTTTGTACATAATTTTATACGAAACACTTTTCTGGAAAATGTTGCACAAAATAGGTATACTAGAAATGGAACACCTAGTTGTCTTCTTTGCTCTTAAGAATGCCAAGTCTTCTTCGCTACCCTTCTTCATCGTTCCATAGATGTAAAAAGTAAAATGGTTAGATTAGGTTGCACAAATGATTTCATGGTGTCTCGAATGCGTTCTGTTTTCTCCTTCTAGATTTTTGACAGGTCTGATTAATAATAAAATGGCTACTAAAGTGTTTTAGAATTGCTTTTTATTAAGTTTGGAGGACTTGACGAGAGTCACTGATTTAGGCTCCAGTCTTACGAAGGATAAGAATAGGTTTTGAATGATGACAATGATAAATTTGATCCTCGTTTGTACTTATTACTTTACTGTGAAGATCACACTTCCTGTACCAAAATGTCTCGACAGATATACTTGAATCAAAGTCAATTGATCGTTTATGAGACAAAGAATATTTACCTTCAGATATTTAAAAAGCGAGATACAAAGTGGTGGGGGTTGTACTTGAGTAGCCTGGAACGAGTAGTTGCAAGTTAACAGCAGAAAAAAATAAGTAGGTGTTCTGGTTCTGCTTAATTGCCCCCTGTATGTATTTCAATAGAATTTTTGCCTGTTTATTTCATCCCCAGAAAGAAATGTTAAACATTTTAAACGATTGTACTAGTTTACCAAAATATCGGTCTGGTGGTCAACACAGAACAATATATATCATCGCACACATGTATATCGTTGTAATTACCGCGTTCAGTCAGATTTTTTTCATGTTTTATAAGCTGTTATTTACACAATGATAATTATAAGCATAAAGCACCGGCATTTTTTAATCTAGCGACAGTCTAGTATCTTCTTGTGATCAAAGGGGTATAAGTGCAAATATTGAATACTCGAAATAAGATTTAATTTGTTATATTGTAGAATGATTATGAAATAGTTGATAAGAGTGTATAAATCGGCATTGCAATCTTACGAACCGTTTTGTAATAAATCATCGATAAATTAAGAAGAGAGGTTCATCGACACTCGAGTAATGTATAAAATATATTCTAACGTATATTTTTCTCTGAGGATGTGCCTCGAGTTTATTTTGTTTCATTAATCAATTATCAGTGTAATAAAAGATAACCCTACGATCTCTTAATTCGAAAGGTGCCATGATATGACAGGAAGTTACGAACGAACGAAGTTTGATAAAGTTAAATAGGAGGATTGTACTATAAGTAAAGGGAACTAATGTGAAATTATGAAAATGGAACGACGGAACGAAATTTTTTGCATGATTTTCTTTTATCTTTTAATATTCTGGAATCATTCGCTGAATGTGCTAAAATGAAACTTATTTTATTTCGATGCATTGTACTCTGTCATATGGTTTAATAAAGACCAGAAGCGTTAATTATACAATTATTTTATGTTTCATTAACGTCGTAAATCTAAAATAGATCATAACAACAACGCCCATATTTTGTTAATTTCACATCTTGTAACGTGTTCATGTAATTTTTCATGTAATTATAAGTTCTCAAAATCGTTAAGGCTAACAAGTGCAAGATTATTTGCTTGTTTCAATAAATTTATTTTTTGAATCCTCTTTCCATTCTTTTAACTCGTTATAGTGATTTAAAAAAATTATTCCACATATTCTATTTACATATCATTACAACAACTTGAATAAAAAATTACCGAGCTAAACTGAAGTTTCTATCTTCATCTATCTAATTGGCACAATGTACATTCGTCAAAAATACTTGTCTATCGAAACAGGTAATAAAATCCAATTCATTGATTGCAATCAAAATATCATTACAGTTCAAAATACATTACAAATTCGAGTAAATGATTTTTATTCGACCCATAGTTCAGCACCGAGCTACAAGTACTTGACGAAATCAGTCTCGAACAGTGGCCACGCTGAGTACTTAACACTCTCTCGAAGAAGAAAGAAGAGGAAACGAATGTAAGAAGTAATTCGAACTTTTAATACTGTATACTGTACGATCAGTGTATCGTCGACCACATGTAAATTAATTTGTTACTTCCTTAATAAAAGCAGATTTTCTTGTAAAAAAAAAAGAAAGAAAAAAAGACAAAACTGAAGTTGTGGTTGCATCTAATTCGATAGCTTAAGAATTACTATTGACGAGACTCTTTTTCTCATTTTCTTCGCAGATCTACGGATCCAGGAAGTACGAGAATCGTCGTCGTACCGTCGTCGCAGGAATGTACGACGGAAAAGTCAGTATCGTCGCCTACGATCGTAACAGAGGACGAGCGTTTCGTGAAGCGGGAACACGAAATATCGGGGGGTCTCTGTTTCGACGCAGAGACGATCGAGAACTCGTCGTCGATCAAAAACGAAACCGAGGAAACGTCGAGGGAGGGGACAGTGCCCGAGGAGACTCATCTCGCGGGACAGTTCTCGCCTCAGACGTTTTATCAATGTGAAATGTGTACAAAGCTTTTCAGGACAAGGAACCTTTACGAAGGCCATTTAGTTTCTCACAGCGACGCGCGTCCCTATCAGTGCGACATATGCGAGAAGTCCTTCAAGAGGACGAACACGCTCGCCGTCCACAGGAGGATCCACACTCGTGAGAGGAACTTCGTCTGCGACGTTTGCGGCCACGCTTTCGTCCAAGCTTTCCAACTGACCACCCATCAGAGACGTCACTTCGAGAGGTACACCAGGTACTGCGATGTCTGCAAAAAAGGATTCTTCACGAACGCCGAGCTCCACGGCCACATGAACATGAAGCACGGCGCCAAGGAGCACGTCTGCCATTCTTGCAACAAATCATTCCCGAACAATCACACCCTCGTGAAGCATTTGATGGTCCACGATCCTAACTTCAAGCCTGTGAAACATCAGTGCGAGTTTTGTGGCAAGACCTTCGTCTACAAGAACTCGTTGGTGTTCCACGTCAAGTCCCACATGGGCGAGAACAAACACGACTGCCATCTCTGTGGTAAATCCGTGTCCTCCAAAGGATCGCTGCAGGATCATCTGCGACTGCACAGCGGTGAGAAATTGCTAATGTGCGACGTCTGCGGGAAAGCGTTTCGTAAAAGGAGCACCCTGGTGGTTCACAAACGCACCCACACAGGGGAGAAGCCATACACCTGCGACACTTGCGGAAAATCGTTCACGCAGCACTCCACGCTGGTCATTCACAAACGTTATCACACTGGGCAGAGACCCTATCGGTGCAACTGTTGCACGAAATCGTTCGTCTCTAGGTCTTCCTTGAACGCTCACAGTAAAATCCACGCGGTGAACGCTGTCATCGAGCAATCGGATTGACATTTAGTTTCCTAGTGTACAGTGACTTCAAGCAACTTTTTAATAATTGTCTCGAAACATGCAAAGTGATCGCGATAAGCGGAACACTGAGTTGACTGAAATTTTTATCTACGATGTGAGAAATATGCCAAATGTATGTTTGGTTGGGAAATTGCAGTCGTAATGGTTATGATTGATATTTTATAACGATTTTTTGTTAATATAATGAAGCTGGTTAGTCTGAACCTACATGTCTCTCTTATAGCTTTCTTATTATGCTTTGGTCAACTTCTGTAGTGACTGTGAGATAGTTTGAAGAACCACTTTTTGTTTATATTTTATAGGGGAAAGTGACAATTTATTCGATGGTGTTTAACGACTTTGTGAAATAATCGTAGTGGTGAAGTATTCTTTTTGTTCTCGTACATTTTTTAATTCTTACCAAAGTTGACCTAGAGTCACTAGTTGTAAACTACTCGTCATGACCACTGCGACTCGAATTTACGTTACTTTTAAGCAAATTAAAAAGATTCGAATTTTGTACGCTACAGTCTTACCTGATCGTAAATGTATCTTAGTTCTTCGTCGCATAATCATGCCTGTTTTTAGACTTCGTGCATCTAACGTGCAGCAATCGTGAACTTCCATTCCTCCGAAATTATAGGTTGCTCGTTTCGATGTACCATAATTATTCGCGAAGCTTCAGTACGTTACTGTAGATAATTTTAATAACAGAGAAGCGAGCGAATATCCACGTGCAATGTAAACCATGTATGAACATAATATTTTTCCAATTTACTTTATCGTCGTGGCATATGTAAAATTTTGTTAAATAAAAGAACTGTTTGATATCGTCCAAATACGAACGCTGAGTTATTGGAAATGTAATTTGCTCCAAGGAGATAAAGCACCATCTTCGTCGCCGATATATCCGCCAATTTTCTTACTTCGATACTGTACTTGCGTCTCGTGATACTCGATACCTTTATCGCGATACTTTGAATACGATAACACAGACTCGCATAGTAAATTTCTGATCAATCTGTAAATCATCTCGAGAGCGATCATATTGAACTTGTAGAGCGTGCTTTGATTATCGACTTCGCTTTCAGGTATACGAATTTTGTGCTTATTCACTGGACAACGTGTCCGGGCACAGAAAGACTGCGATCACGCAACGACGACACCAATACTGACATGGCCATTCGAATTTTTCTATTTCAGGTACAACCAACTACCCTTTTCCGAAGAGTATTATCCGATGGCAATGTTGACGAAGCTCGACCTGGTGAAGAAGGACGCAGATCCTGGCAGAGGGCCCTCGAAACGTCCGGACGTAGGTACGGTCGCGGGGAAAGCGACGATCCTTCCGATCGACCAGGAGGAAAACTACATAAAGCAGGAGATGAACGAGGAGGACGACGAAGAGGACCTGCCGTTGGCGTACCACTGTAAGCTCTGCGGCGTGTTCTTCGCTTCCCAGGCTCTGCTGGACAATCACGAGATCGAGCACAAGAGCAAACGCAAGAATACCTGCGCTCAGTGCGGCAGGGTGTTCAGAACGTACGTGAACCTTAGGAAACACATGAAGAAGCACGTGGGTCGTAAAAGTGGTCGCAAAGCCGGTAACTCGTCCGTCGTCAATCGTTCCAGCGGTCTGAAGGTGAAGAAAGAGAAGTCCGAGCTGGAGTTTCTCTGCAAGACGTGCAACAAGGTGTTCCGACACAAGAGCAACTACCAGAAGCACCTGATGCGTCACACCGTCGGCGATCTGACGTGCAAACACTGCCCGAAAAAGTTCCGCTTGTTCCGCGACCTGACCAGGCACGAGAAAACCCACTTTTATCCCAGCTACATGTGCAAGGAGTGCGATTACGAAACCACCGTCCTGGCTGCGCTGAGCATCCACATGCTGCGACACACCGACAAAGCTGACCTGCCCTTCAAGTGCAACGACTGCGATAAACGGTTCCGCAAGGCGATCGACTTGCAAGAGCACTACAACATCCACTCCGGCGACAAGCCGTTCGTCTGTCAGTTATGCGGCAGCGCCTTCTATCTCAGGCGACAGCTCTCCGCTCATTGCAGGCGCATGCACCCCGAGATGAAGGCCAACAAAGTGACCAGCACCGCCTGCGACATCTGTGGCCGCGTACTCGCCACGAAGAGGTCGCTCTTCCGCCACAAAGAGAGTCACAATCCCACCAAGCTCTACCTCTGCGATTACTGCGGCAAGAGTCTGAGCAGCGCCGAGCATCTAAAGAAACACAGGCGCATCCACACGGGCGAGAAACCGTACGTTTGCGACATATGCGGCAAGGGATTCACCGACTCCGAGAATCTCAGGATGCACAGGAGGGTGCACACGGGCGAGAAACCGTACAAGTGCGACCAGTGCCCGAAAGCTTTCTCGCAGAGATCCACGTTGACCATCCACAGGCGAGGGCACACCGGGGAAAGGCCATACGTTTGTCAGATCTGCAACCGCGGCTTCTCTTGTCAAGGGAACCTCACGGCTCATCAGAAGTCGACCTGCGTTTAATTCTCGTGCGAATGCCTCCCGTCGAGGGTAGAACTCTGATACCAGCTTATCGCGAGCGGTGGGGGATTACGTTTCAGTGTCGTTAAGGTCAATGCTCCCCTGCTGATCACTGCGGGAACGCTAATTACCTATTCGACGACTTGCCAAGGTTACTATGGGTCGAACGATCGAACGAATATCGACGAACGATGTGGGGGAAACGTTGAAGGAGCTTGCGAGTTAATAAACAGATAAAATAGATTTTTTTATACTTTATGATACTCGTTTAGGGGCGGTGTCGACATCGTTCGTGTATGGTGCATCTGCGACTAATTGTATTACCTATTAATATTACATGTTGGATGCTTTCCAGAGCCTATCGCGCTGTTTTCCTTTCTTTCAAGTTTCTTTTTTCTCGTTTCCTACTCTTTCGTTATCTCTTCTTTCATTTTTTTTTCTTTTTTTGCAATACATTGAACACTAGACGAATTATAGTTCTTCGTTGTTGCGAAAATGTACCCGTCGCTCGTTTAATGATGTAGCCCTTGGATTATGTTATCGCGCTTGGGTTTGAAATTGTTACACTGTTTTTTCCAAACTGCGCGTATGTGACCCCGTGACAAAAAGACGAGGATCGTTCCTGGTTGACATTTTTTTGTGTGCAGGGGCTTTGACGTTCGTACGAAATTTGTTCACGGAAAGAAAGCGAATACGTCGACTGAGAAATTTATGTTAAACTGTCGTTATCGATACCCGTTATTACACGTTTAATAAAATAACAATTGATCCAATGAAAAAAAACGTTTGTTAGCATGGCGATTCTCTCTGTTCCATCGATTAACTCATTAATCCGCCACGTCTAAACAAGAGCATCATTTCCCTCTCACATCCTCGTTGCAAAAGAAAGACTGGTCGTAGATACCATCCCTCCGTATATCCCCAATAGAGAAACATCCAACGATTCAAGAAGAAGTATCGACGAAACTATGTAAATGCGTATAACATGTTGAAACTTGACGTTGTTGATTGCAGAGCTCTGGGGATCATAGATTGGTGCACAGATACGATTAACTACGTCAAAGATGAACCACCGTCGCCGTCGCCGGAAGAACTAAGCGCGAAGCAAGGTCTGCTTTACGTAGAAGAGCACGCGTACGCCAGAACGTTGGAGAAGACGAGTCAGCCCGTAGACGCGGCGAGAAAATCGCCGACGAGGAAGAAGAAACAGAAGAGACACGAGGAGCCGGGAACGTACACGTGCTCTATTTGCGCGTCGAACTTTGACAGACAGGGTGATTACAAACGGCATATGGTGAAGCACAGCGATCTGCGTCCCTACAAGTGCGACGTGTGCGACAAGGCGTTCAAGCGTTCCTCAGAGATGACCAGTCACATGCAGATCCACAGCGGGATCAAGTACATGTGCGAGATCTGCGGTTTCACCACGATCAACAAGATCTCGCTGGGAACGCACAATCGACGAATGCACCAACGCGACTTGCGCTACCCCTGTGACCAATGCGACAAGAGCTTCATGTCCAACTACGACCTGGAGGACCACCGTGCCAGCCACCTGGGGTCAAAGACATTCGTCTGCGAGTACTGCGGAAACGCTTACGCGCAGCGATCTTACTTGGTAGCTCACAAACGCGTGATCCACGGTGTGGAGACCGGAGCGCCGAAGGAGTTCAGGTGCCACATCTGTAGCAAGAGCCTCGCCTCCGAGCACAGTCTCAGGAACCACGTCGCCCTGCACTCGCAGATGTTTCTCTGCGCTCACTGTGGCAAAGAGTTCGCCACCAATCATGCTTTGAAACTGCACAATCGGAAGCATACAGGGGAAAGGCCTTACCAGTGCAAGGTCTGCTCGAAAGCCTTCTCCAGATCGACCGCTCTCAGGGTGCACAAGCTCACGCATACAGGGGAGAGACCGTACGTTTGCGATCTCTGCGGACAGAGCTTCACCCAGCGGAGCAGCATGATGGCGCATCGCCGCAAGCATCCCGGAAGTCATCCTCCGCCGCCACCGTTTCTCCTCAGCAGACTCGAGAGTATCTAGCTCGTGTTTTAAAGGTTTCCTGATGCCTCAGGTACATTTTAGGGATGTCGAGAGAACTATTAAATGAATGAACTTTGAAAGGATAGCGTTACGAGAGTAGTGCTCACAGTGACGTGTGACTAAAGGGGGACGTTGATAATTGAATAGTATTAAACCATGTTACGTTACCGCTTCATACTTATTGCGCTTTTATGTTCGTTTGTTCGCTATCTCGAGAGTTAATCGTATTTTTATAAAGGGATCACCATTTGCGTAATATTGTTAAAAACGATTCATTCTGTTCTGTTACGTGTCGTATTCGTGGACGAATTTCATTATCCTCTTTCTGGAATTGGTATTTTTTTATATTTTATTCATAGCTGTTCTGTGGTTTATAATTCGAGGTTTAAATACTGAAAGATTCTTGCATTGTGCCTTTACTGATATTTGCCCATTAAACTGCTTGAAATATTAAACATGACTCGAGTAATTGCCTGTTGAATAGAACGAACTCTTTTTTTGTTTAGACAAGCATCATGTTCAACGCTTTACATCAGACAGTCTTTCGATCTTCTTTAGTGATTGAAGCACTTTCTGGGTATATAAGTTTTTAATTAATAAAAGCAAATAGATAATAGGAAGCTTATCTGCGCCATAATTTGTATTTTTATTTATGACTAGGAAAGGGGACCTAAAAACTGATCGAAAGTTTTGAACACATGCATCTCCAAACTGATGAAGAGTTTCATTTCATTATTAATTCTTACAATGTGCGCTACGTTAGTTGTATTGCGCCCAACATCGGATTCAGAGAATCCAGCGAAGTGTATAAATAATGCAGCATAAGTTAGAGACAAGTTCTTTTTTTTTCTTATCGTTTATCAGCGACAATAGGTACACTCTTATCGAAGAAGTACATTCACGTACTCGAATAAGCAGCTAAGTATAGTGAATCTCTAAAGTATAAAGTCAATGGGTTTCTCGATCGACTTCAGCGAGTCTCGCGTTGATTGTAAGAGAATTTGTGCGAATTGGACACGATCGGTTGTTCTAGAAGCTGTGACATGTATCGATGTAAGTAGCATAACTGTAAATTTACATTAAGTTCAAAATGAAACCGATTCAGTGCAACCTACGGCAAATCGCTTGTACTGAATTCTTTGTTCCTTGAATTAAATCCATTTCAGAAGTTCTATAATCGATAGTTTGCAATGCTTCCCTACCCATAGTCCCTTCCTAAACCGTTAACATCTATCGTATCGCGCGAATAATCGAATGGCGAGATTGCGGTTTCTTTTATTTGACTGTATCGAATTCTTTGCTGCGGCTGACTAAGTCAATGGATGTTTCAGGATGTCAGCGATCGCAGG